TTCTTTTCCCACGTCCCAGAAGCCCTTTACTCTTCGGTGGTTTCCTATCATTTCACAGTGTCTATCATACCTCCGAGTTTAACTTAACTCTTTCAAGTTTTACACTAGTGACACAATGCGGTGCTTGCACATGTATGTTTGATTTATTTCACTTATGAGTATGGTCTCTAGTTGTGACCATTTAAATATAAAGGCCTCGAGTTTATCTTTCTTTACAGCTGAGTAATATTCCATTCCATTTTGAGACAGTGTCTCACTAAGTTGCCGAGGCAGGGCTCAAAAACTTGTGATCCTCTTGCCTCAGCCTCCTGAGTAGCTGTGATTACAGGCATGCACCACTGTGTCCACTCTTTTCTTTACCAGCTGTATGATGTTAGACATGTTATTCAGTCTTGCTGAGCCTCAAGCCATTTAAGTGATGATATTAAATTTCCAACAAGAGAGGTGAAAAAGGGGTGGTCAGTGAAATAGCAGGAAATCAAAAAGATTGTAACACAGAGAAATTGAGAAAAGAAAGTGCTTTTAGAAGTGCAGAGGGGGGGGTCACCCATAGCAAAAGCTGCTACAAAGACCATAAGAGAAGTTCCCATTTTTTCAGCAAACTTGGAGGAACCTACCAAGACACACCACAACTGTTACACTGCTCTTGGTTCATTACTTCAAAACCCTGCTGTATCTTGAAAAAAAAAGGGGGAATAAAGATAGTATCTCTGATCACTGTATTGTTTAAAGGACTAGTTTCTCAGAGACCTCATTTGCACATTAAAACAAAAATTGAGAACAATTTTTACAACTCTGGTTCTTCCTTTCATTTTCAGTAATTTCTGGGTTCTCTGTGCCCATTTAAAGGAGAATTCTTGGGTATGGGAGTAAACCTGGACTGTACAATTGGGGGCAGGTTCAGAAACATTTCCTCCTCATTGTAAAAGCACATCTGATAAGAATATTTTCCATAATAATATGTAATAGTCTTCCAAATGCAGTTGTTTCATGGTTAGCCTGAGTTTAGGCAAATATAATTTCTGAATATTTAAACAAAGAAATATAAATATCACAATAAGCCTGCTAGCATAAAGGTCTAAAAATACTGTATTCTCTCTCCCAACTCCACACACAAAAGAAAAGAACTTGACCATCTGAAAGTGAGCTGACTTCAGCTCCTGGGGAGCCTGTGTTGAGGGTCTCCCACACTTGAACTAACTTCCCACGGGGCAGACTAACTTGCTTCCAAGTTGGAATCACGTCATCAACTCATAGTCATTAGGATGTCCCCACCTCACCCCACTACCACCAGAGGACTATGGTCATGTGGGGCCAGAGGCTCAAAAGGGACTTAGGGACATGGAAAATGGAGATGACATTTTTGCTTGAGAAACTGAGTCTGAGAGGTGAAGGGATTTGCACACTTATATGTACAGCTTGCACCGCAGCATCTTCCTGGGGTCCCCTCCTCCGTGGCAAACCTCTCAAACTGCCACCTCCTTTTGCGGCCTCCCAGGATAGCTTCCCTAGCCAGCTCACCCTCCCCCAGTAAGTTCACACCACCTGATTACCCACTCACTCTTCTGTCCCCTTTAATCTGGCTTCTTTCTCCATCACTCATAAGTAAATCCAGGAATGTCAAGGTGACCAACATCTTTCACGGCCTCACCTGAAGGTCACTTCTCCCTCTCCTTTTCACACACCTCTCAGCAGCATCTGCCGCAGGCCACTTTCGTGCCTTCTTTTCTCCATGACCCCTACGCCCCGCACCCGACCCTGATCTCCCGGAACATCTCTTGCTGGCTCTTCATCTTCCTCCCAACTCCTTGCCTCACCTCCCTGGCGATTCTGACATGCTCAGATGTTTAAGTGTTTTGTAGGCCGATTGTTTCAAGGAGGCTTTACCTTGTGCACTCCCCTGAGTTCTTAATGCTGACTGTATCTATTTGACATCTCAAACTTAGCAGTGCTAACACTGGAATGTTGATTTTCCTTCCAAAGTCATTACCATCTCAAAAAATGCTATCACCATTTCCCCAACTGCCCAATTCAAATACCTGGAAGTCATTCTAGTTATTCTCACTGGCTTCTCCATATTCAGGTGAACAAAAGCCTACGGAAGCACATCTCTGATAGATTTGCTTTTGCAGCTGCTGCTGCTCTCACTGGGACCGCCCGTATGGACAGCACTCCAAACTGCCTCCTGCTCTGCGTGCTGCCTGCAGCCAAGCTACCAGAGCACAGCAGCCTTCACACGCACTGGGAGATCGGGCTCCTTCCCTGCAAAGACTGCACAGTGGCTTCTGTAGCACTTGCACCAGGACTCCTGTGCCCCACCCGCACCCGGCTCTTCACTGTCTCTTACAGCCCTGTCCTCCTCTATCCCTTGTTCTTTGTTCTACTGCATATTCGTAAGACAGAAGAGTGACGTTTGCTCCAGGAAGCTGGTATGTGCAAACAGGGTATCTGGACCATTTTCAACCCCTCCCCCCGTTCCCTCTGACTCCCCCTCCCCACCTCCAAGACTCTACCTTCAGATTTCTATCCTCTCCTTTATTTTATTCACTTAATTATTTATATTTTAGGTTTTTGATACAAGGGGAAACAGGTGACATTTAACCCTCCAAGTCAGGCTTATTTCACTTAATGTGATGGTCTCAAGTTCCTGCCATTTTCCCCAAATAACATGATTTCATTCTTTATGACTGAGTAATACTCCACTGTTTATATATACACACTACAACCATCTACTGACAGGCATCTATGCTATTTCTACAACTCAGCCTTTGTGAATTGTGCCACTGCACACATGGGTATGAACCGCCTGTGCTGCTGCAGTATGATGTCTTTAATTCTTTTTGGAACTATACACAGGAGTGGCATATTTAATTGATATTTCTATTTTTAGTTTTTTTTTGAGGAATGTGCATACTGATTTCCATAGCAGTTTTACTAGTTTACATTCCCACCAACGGTGAAGGACAGTTCCTTCCCCCACCCACTCCTATCCTCAGCAGCATTCCCTGCGTTCTATATTCTTCATGATAGCCATTTCTGACCAGCGTGAGATGAAATCTCATTGTAGCTCCAGATTCCATTTCTCTGATGGCTACAGACATTGAATGTTTTCTCATATACTCATTGGCCACTTGTATTTCTTCTTTTGAAAGGTATATATTCAGTTCATTTGCACATTATTTGATTGGGTCTTTTTTTTTTTCGGAAAGTGGTTAATGTTTTGAGTTCTTTATCTATTCCAGATATTAATCTTTTAACAGAGGAGTAGCTAGCAAACATTTCTACCCATTCTGAGAGTTTCCTCTTCACTGTGCTGTTTCCTTTTTATGTGCAGAAGCTTTTTGATTTGATGCAATCCCATGTGTTGATTCTCGATATTATTTCCTGTGCTGTGGAGTGCTATTCAGGAAGTCTTTGCTTATGCCTATGCTTAAATTTTGAAACTGCTGGAAGATAACATAGGGGAAACACTTGAAGCCTGCCCTGCTTTCTGTCCTCAAAGCACGTCAAAGATGTTTCCTGTCTCAGGGCCTCTGTGTTCCGTGCTCTGCCAGGCTGAGAATATGCCCAGCTCAGTCTTGAATTTAGCAATCATCAAGTAGTCCCTTCGTAGACCCTCTTCTGCATGCCACAGTATCCCCACTAAGTGGAAGTTCTGTGCAAGCAGGGTCCATTGCTCCACTGGCTGATGGGAAGTGTCCGGCCTGGATCAGTAAACACTGGCTCGGGGAGCTTTGCTGGGGCAGGATTGCAGGTCTCCTGGCTCCCAGCCCGGTGGGCTTACCACTGCTCCAGCTGCCTCTCCTAAACAATGGATGAGTCAGCATGGGAGGCACATTTGTGTGCAACAACGGGAACTTCAACGTGGGAAGGGCACAGGGCTGCACAAAAGCACCAGGCAGCCTGCTCCCTGGGGCCCGGCCTGCTCCCTGGGGCCCGGCCTGCTCTCTGCCTCCTGGTGCTCTTTGGTCCAAGCAAAGGGGTGGGGGTGCTCATTTAAAAACAAACCACAACAGGAGCCTGGGGTAGTGGCACACGCCTATAATCTCAGCACTTGGGAGGCTGAGGCAGAGGATTGTCTCAAGTTTGAGACCAACCTGGGCTACATAGTGAGTTCAAGGCCAGCCTGCACTATACAGCAAGACCCTGTCTCAAAACAAAACAAAACACAATAGCAGAATCCTCTGTGGCAGGCGTCTGCGCAGGCAAGCCATCTAAAATAGGGTGTGGACAAAGGGCAATTCGTAGATGGCCTGCACCTTCCCAACTGGCTAGCTGCAAGTTCCAAACACCTGACTCTAGTCAGAAGCATCTGGATGGAAGCTTCTGTTGACATAGCAACCTCTGTGCTCTTGGGGCCTAGACCCAGGGTTTCAGATAAACAGCTATTTAGAGTAGTAAAGAAATAGAGCAAAGCAGGAAAAAAAAAAAAAAAAAAACCTGGAAAATGGCAAGAAATAATCTTACAAGTGCCACAAGCCGCACTCTAAAAACAAAACTCAGGAGCTGGGAGTGGAATCCTCCTACTACACTCCAGAGAGGGGCAGTGGCTTCCTGCTGGGCTACATCTGAAACAAAAGGCCCCATTGACAGGCACATCTGTTACTACTAAACACTTAGGAATCAATATTTTCCTAAAGATTTTTTTTTCCCTTTGGCTTTAAAGGGTTACTGTCTCCCAGGCTGCCAAACCTCAACCTTCTCCACGTCCTCAGCCACCACATAAAGTGACTATTAGAACTTCAAACAAAGAATTTGGTCCCGGAAATGGCCTCATGCTAGTTTTTTCCTGAATAGAGACACCAGGAAAATGTCAGAAGGCAAATCAAAACCCACACCCTGAAAGACTTAAAACATAACAATCACATCCCTAGGAGGATGAGTAAGCCCAGCCTGATTTGATTTTAAAAGGAAACATGGCAGATTTGGTCAGATGGCCTGGATATGTCTGGAAAGAAAGAAGGGGGTGGGGAGGTAAGGGGAGCTGAGAGGCACTTTACCTTAACACCTGCATCTCCTCAGGGGAGTTCCGCATCTCATCCTGGAGGCGGTGCCAGCGTAGGCAAGCCCTCAGCTCTTGCTGCTCCTGGGCCTCGTAGGGGGACAGCTGCTTGAGCACAGACACACCAACACATGTGCACAAAATACAGTCACTGTCTTGGTCAGACCTACCCCCTGCTTTCACCTTGCTCCTCCTCAGAAAAGCAAGGGCCACTGGAACCTCAGGTCCTCCATGAAGAACAACTCCACACTCTCCTGTGCTGGTGGGTGGAGCTGGGCCAGCCTGCTTGGGAGGGAGTCTTGGGTCCTGGAACCCACCCCTCAGCACACGCTTAGCCAGTAGCAGGGGGCTCCCCTGAGGGCATCCCACTTCAATCCATCCAGCCCTCCTTTCCCGCTCTGTCTTCCTGCACAGGGTGGGGAAGGCCTCTCCATTTACCTCCTGTTTTTCCAGCCTCAATTTGGGGAAGGACTGTTTATAGTGGAGCCCGTTAATGCAACCCAGATGATGCTGTTCACATATAACCAGAAACAGTGTCCTGCCTGGACGCAGTTTGGAGGCAGGGAGGCCGTCACACTCTGCCCTGGTGAGTCAGAGCCCCCCACTACCCCATGGATGTGCTTGCTGGGCCCTACTGCTGTGATCTGTGCAAGGGAGGCAGCAGGACTATTAGGGAAGGAAAGTGTGCAGGGCTTGTAGAAATCCAATTACTCTAACAATTCATTCAACAGATACCTACTGGCTCTGCTGGCCCTGGGGATATTATGGACAGGGCTCTATGATAGTATAAAGACCCTAACAAGATTGTGGGGTTGCAGAGGTTAAGGAGAAGCCAGGTGCCCCCTTGCAAACAGGGGAATCGGAAGGTTTTGTGGAGGTGGTGATATTTAAGCTTTCCTTAGTGAAAGCAGGAGCAGACCAAAGAAGGCGCTTAGGGACATGGTCAGGCTGGGAGCGGGCTCCACCTGGGGAGGGAGCGAGGTGCCGAGAAGCGAGCCCAGGCCAGATGAGCAATGACTTTGGGTGCTTACTGTTTCTAACACGGTTTCCCCAGCTCAAACCCCAAGGTGACAGCATTTGGAGCCAGGAGCTTTAAGGAAGTGATTTTGGTTAAATGAGACCATGAGAGTAGGTCCCTGACCCTCCAGGATCATGGTTTATAAAGAATGGAAGAGACACTACAGATCAGTCTGGTCCTAAAGCACAGAAGAGCACTCATGGGAGAAGAGCGGGAGAAAGCAGCCATCCATCTACAAGCCGAAAGACAGGCCTCACCGGACCCCAATCCTGACAACACCTAGACCTCAGATTTTCAACCTTTGGAACTGAGAAAAGAAATGTCTGTTGTTGAAGCCACTACTCTGTGGCATTTGACTGCAGCACCCTACCCTTATGAAGGGGTTAGGCTTGTCCCAGCTGATGACAAGTTATACAGTTCAACCTTGCTACTCAGTTCACTTGCTTTTGCAGGATGGCACGCTGACGGGATACCAGGCTCCGGGTCCTGATTCAGGATTTCTCGCCGTTCCTCACTGTGCTTTCTGAGACACAGTGCTGTGGAGCACGGCCTCCCCGGCAGCAAGATGACTGCAACAGCCACAGCCACCAGTGCATCGTCACAACCTCTTTGCTAGTGGAACCACTACCGACCAGCAGCGTCAGCACCCCACAGAGTACTCCTGCCCCATGACAGTCGGAAGCAGGCATGCATCAGGGACCAGAACATCCCAGTCTGGTCCTGAGAGGAAGGGCTCAGGGGTGGACGTGCCCCAGCAGTGCTGTCAGACTCAGAGCTGCGATCTAGAAGGGTCACCCTGCCTGAGGGGCATTTGCGTTTTCGCATCTTGAAGTTGGATGGTGCCGTAGGCTGACCCCCAAGGCGGGAGAGGGTAAAGGAAAAATGGAGAAAGCCAAGCTCCTGCTTTCCCTCAGCCCACAGCAGAAGTCACCTCCTCCACCAAGGCCTTCAGTCCTGGCCTTTCCTACCTTTGAACTCACAGGAGATCTGGTGTTTACTTCTCTTTTCAAATTTATTTTCTCTCTCCTTCCACCAAGTGCTTATCTTCTCATCCCTGTACCCCCTCAAATGGAGCACAGAATGATCGCGGAATATACACAGCTGTGAGATCAGCTGGGGGCTCCTGTTAGTAGGTGGGGACATGCTCAGGGCAGTCCGATCAAGACCCAAGGGAAGAGATAAAGGAGTGCGGGCAGGAGAAGGGCAAAGAGGGAGCTCTCTAGCCATCTGTGGTGGCACATGCCTGTAATGCCAGCACGCAGGAGGCCGAGGCAGGAGAATTGCCACCAAGGTCAAGACCAGCCTGGGCTACATAGTGAATTCAAGGCCAGCCTGAACTACAAAGCGAGACCCTGTCTCAAAAACCAAAAGAAAAGAGCAGCTCTCTTATTGACATACAGGAGATAAAGGACAGAGATGTCATTATTAGGTACCAGAAATACACTTGCAGTTGCCAAGAACAAGACTAGCCTGACTGCCTCAGAGATCAGGACAGTAGTACACTCCACTGTTAAATGATCTCTATGTGCAAGACAGTGGGGATACAGAGGATGAGAACAGGTGTTTCCTGCACACCTCCATGTGTCTGGCATGTGTGAAGCTCACTCACATCGGTCCACTCAGCCTGTAAGGTGAGGCCTTTTTATATCCAGTCTACAGATGGGAAAGCTGAGGCTCAAGAAGCTACGTATATATCCTGCCTATACCCAGAAGACCAGTGAAGGGCAGAACTGAGCTTCAAAGTTCAGAAACCAACCTCTGTCCCCGTGCCCACGGGGACCTGATAGGTGTGCACCCTGCCAGCTGACCACCATGCTGTGACAAGGACAGAGGATGATGAGGCACAGCTCCGCTTCAAAAGAGGGCAGAGTCAAAGCTGGGAGGGCAAGAGAAGTACACAGCAGAAGTAAGAAGAAAAAGAGGTAAGCAGCAAATCTCATGGGGGCCCGAGTTCTAGGACAGCAGCAGTAAGAATAATGAGGCGGGGACAGCTAGTCTGGCCTACCCGGGGAAAGCACCTCAAGCTAGCTAGTGAGACATGGACAGGATTTCAGCAGGCAGCATCATCGTGAGCAGCAGCATCCAGCTATGCACAGGCCTGGGGGTTTTAGAAGACACCAAGTAGTCCAATGTGTAAAGACAAGGAGTGCACACAAAAGAAGTGACCTAAGTATTATTACTGTAACTGGAAAGGAAGCAGGAAGCAGCTTAGCTGCCATGTCCTCATTAGCACTGTGGCCACTCTCTAACACACAGTATTGTAAAATAGATGTGTGTGGGGTGGGTCTGGCCTCTGGGTACTTTTGTGTGTGTGCATATATTCGGGGGCAGGGTGCTGGGGGTTGAACCTAAGGCCTCACATTTGCTAAGCACACACAGTACCCCTGAGCTATGTCCCCAGCCCCTGATATGTATGGTATTATTTAAATCAGTAAACTTCAAATGAAAATCTAGATTTAGGGATTTCCTTACAAAACTAAAAGCCTAGGCTTTATTAAGCTCCCCATTAATGTGAGAAAAGTTGGTCAGAACTGAGTAGCAGCTGCCAATTTGCCACAGTCCTCAGCATACCCTAGTCTATTGCTCCAACTGCCTCAATCTTTATCCCTTACTTGCAAGCAACAGATATCTGAGCTTATGACTCCGATTTAGATTCTAATCTGATCATTTAAAACATACACCCAATGCTGCCACAACCATAAAGACGAAGGCTTTATATAACCTTTCCTTTAGGTCTGCTCCACAGTCTCCTCATCAGAGGCCTTCTCTGGCCACTATTTTTTAAATTAACTTTGTTGGTACATTTTAGGTATGCATAATGATCACATTCATCATAGGGAATTTGTAGCTGTATGTGACATAACTTCGTTCTTCTTTCCCCATCCCCTCTCCTCCCTTCAACTCCTCTCCTCCTATTTATAAAAGCTTTGTTTCCACTTTTTCCTTCTATTCTCTTTTTTCCCTCATCCCTTCTTTCCTTTCCCCTTCCCTCCTCACTTGTTCCCTTCCCATTTGAACATTTTCTTCCATTTCCCAGTATCTATTATACATTTTGGTCATTATTTATACTTTCAGTTTCTCACACCAGAGAAACAATGCAGTATTTAAATATGTATGTCTGATTTATTTCACTTAAGAGTATGGTCTCAAAGTGCATCCATTTACTAGAAATGGCTCAAGCTTATCCTTATTTATGGCAGAACTGTACTCCACTATATATTAAATAAACCATCTTCTTTGTCCATCCATCAGTTGATGTGCATTTGGGCTGTTTCTAAGATTGAGCTATTACAAACTATGCCACTATAAACATGGGTGAGTATACATCACTGTGGTACGATGCTTTTAATTCTTTTGGGAAGATACCAAGAAAAGAGATAGCTGGGTCAAATGGAACCTGTAGTTTTAATTTTTTAGATTAAACGAATCATCACATTGATTTCCACAGTGGTTACACCAAACCTCAGACTGTTGTACCATGTGCTTCATAAACACATGGAAATTAAATAACAACCTCCTGAACAACCAAAGGGTCACAGATGAAATTAAAGAAGAAACTAGACAGTTTCTATAATTCAATAATTCCAAAACAACATACCAGAACTTATGCGACACACTGAAAGCAGTCCTCTGAGGGAAACTTATAGCAGTAAATTCCCATTTCAGAAAAACAGAGCGAATTCAAATAAACAACCTAATGCTGAACCTCAAGCTTCTAGAAACAGCTCATACAAGTGAGGAAATTATAAAGATCAGAGCAGAAATTAGTGCAATGGAGACTAAGAAAATAATATAAAGAATCAATGAATCAAAGAGCTGGTTCTTTGAAAGATTAAATAAAATTGATAAACCGTTAGCCAACCTTATCAAAAAAAAAAAGGAAAGAAAAGATTCAAATCTATACAATCAGAAATGAAAAAGAGTGAAATCTGATCACTTTTTAAAAGTGTACTCGCCCCCTCCTCCACTGAGCTCATTTTTATTCACAGTACTCTTCCCTACCTGCATGTTGCTGCTTAGTTTGTTCGTCTGTTCTCTTGCCTATCTCTAGATTGTGAACCCAGGGGAAAGGGGACTCCCCTCTCTGGTTGGACAGCCATTTCCCCAGCAAAAACAGCTGTCTAGTGTACTCAGCATGTATCTGTTGAATGAACGAAGGGCTTGAGTAGAACTTAACTCTGGGGAGGGAATACTTAGGGTCACGTTCAACCCACCTGCTGTGCTTCAGCCCAGAACACATCTTCCAGGTGAGTGGCGAACCCTTCACTGAGCCACTCCTCCGTCCAGTCACGGGCACCGATGGCCAGGCCAAACCAGGCGTGAGCGATTTCGTGGCAGAGCCGGGTCCCACAGAGATGGCTCCTGCCTGTCAAGGTGCTCTGGGAGAGGAAGATGATGTGTGGGCTGTGGATAATGGAAGAGAAAACATTAGAGTCCTGTTAGAGCCTGTCCTCGTGGCTGCCCCATGGGGCGGCTTTCTTAGCCTGGCGAGCCTATTATTATCATGTGCATGCCAGATCATGACTGATAGACTTGTGGCTGAGATGCTTTTAGACCTAAATAAAGTGGCAGTTTATGTTTCTGGCAGCAGTTCAGGCTGCCGTTTCTGCCAGAAGTTGTCTCCGTCATCAAGTGGCTATTACCTGTAATAAGTAACCTGCACCAAAGTTTTATACTGAAAAAATTACAAGGCAATGGAAGTATTTACTCTGAAATCGGGATTGTAAAAGAAAAGCAGGTGTGAGAATGAGAAGCCCAGGCTGTCAAGAGAATGATCAAAGACGACCCTTCAGCCAAAACCCGAGCAGCTCACAAACGAACTGAGAAGTCATGTAGAAAGACAGGAAAAGCCAAGAAGAATGGAACCAAGAATTTTCCATTTCACACTGGGGCTGGTTGTGAGTTAACAATCTCACAGGTGCCAAGGAGTGGAAGGACTTCCAGGAGACCCAGATAAGGCCAAGGGTCTGAAAAACAAAGGTTTTCGGTGGAATCTGTAGGTGCTTATAGATTCACATGACAAAACAAAATCATGCTGAGGGAGAAAGGCAGGGAGTTAACCCACCCAGGTGTGCACACGGCCCCAGGGCTGGCAGCACATGGGGAGATTTATCTAATCTTATTTTCCATCCCTCCTTTCAAAGCCCCAAATACCATGATTAAAATTGCAGAGATGAAATGGGAGGAATGGGGGCTGAAGGAAGAAGAGGCAAACAGAACACCTCCTCTGCTTCCACCTTCAGCTTTTGTCATTGATCCAGGACCTGTTGACGGTCTTCCCAATGAAGAACTTGCTCTTTAAAAATCTCTCCTCCATCCACTGAACAGAACCAGTTGTGAAACCTTCCATATTAAGAAACTGTACACGCTGGTTGTTCCTTCTTTCAAAAGCCATTTGTTTGCCATCATGTCAGCTCTGCACAAGCCAAGACTGCTTGCAGATTTTTTGTCTGCCCCAACAGCTACCATTAGAGAAAACCCCACCTATATTTCTCTTGCACAACATTACCCATTCAGCTCAGAGAGCTCAACTGCAATTGCGGGAACCACGTCTGCCAAAAGAGACAGCTTTCATGTGAAAGAATAACAACAGGCCAGGCAAGCCAATGACAAGGCATCTGCCAGGCCCTCCGAAGAGTTCACCAGGAACCCCAGAAATTATGGGTAGAGTTGACACACTCAGGACAAAGGATGTAATGCAGCAGGCACCAATAGTAGTTCAAATCACAACTCAGAAAAAAATAAATAAATAAAAGGGAGGCGGAAGGAAGGAAGAAAGGAAAGGAGGGTGGGAGGGGACAAGTGAACCGAGAGGCACAGGGGCTCTAGCTAGCTCCCTCTTACTGAGAAAGCCCCATTGAGAAGACGCACTGTGCAACCTGGCATTTTCAAGTAAGTGACCCCTGGCTCTGGCATGTGCAGAGTTACAAGAAAAGCCACAGAAATGTACCAAGTTAATAACATTCCAGACATACTACTGGCAGCAGTTCACCCTTTCCGCTAAAACAAAACAGAAGTAACTTCAATCCTTATAAACAGGCTCAGCGATGAGTCTGCTTGGGAAGGATCCACCAGGCAGAGTGTGACAGCCATGCACGCACTAGTACAGAAACTGGAGGGCTGACTGATGCTCAGGCCGGCTGCTTCTACCAGAGCTGCCTGGGGTGACCTGCCTGCTGCCCAGTCCCAGCCTGGCCACCTAGCCGAGGCCCATTTATGCAAGCAGGGAAGTCTGCAGGGCCTGAAGGAATGCACAAAAGCCGCCCCGTCGGGGGTGGCACTTCACCTTCCTGCCCTTTCATTTTTTTCCCCTTGAACAGTTGTTATTGTCTCCACCAGACTCCCTCCCCACCATTCCACACTGGAGACACTGCCTCCACCTGAGCGCCCCTGGGGTGGGCTCAGGACAGGTCCTGGCATTGCTGGAATTCAACCTAAATTCCCACTTCCTGTACTCAATCCTAGCTTCCAAGCCAGGGATAATCATATTTCCTACTGTCCTTTGAGGAAGAAGCTTAAACATCCTCCGAATAGGAAGGAAGGGCGTTTAACTTGATATAAATGACGCTTACTATCGGTGGAAAATATGACTTCTCCCTGACAAGCAATTTTCCATTTGGAACCCCGACTCTCATGCCTCTAGAGGCCCATTTTGTCCTCCACAGTTGCCTTACCTGTGTAAGGGCTCTTTCCCTATGAAGAGAACGGCTTCTTTCTTAAAATGAAATTAAAAACACAGAGTGAGGTTTCAACAACCTTTCTTAAGGGTGTTAAGATTCTGACATAAAGGATCAACAGAATATTGTTTCTAGAAGTTCCTTCCCTCTTTTTTTGATCCTAAATGTCAGAATTTCTCAGGGTAAGTAGACTTTTTAAGCCACTTATCATTTTTAAAAAACTACTTTTTCTTCAGCCAGGATGGTAGCAGGCGCCCACAATCCCAGCAGCATTTGGGAGGCTGAGGCAGGAAGATCTGGAGTTTGAGGCTATCCTGGGACACAGTGAGTTCAAAGCCGGCCTAGATTATATAAGGAAACCTTGTCTCAAAAAACAAATCAAAACAACAACAAAAGTAAACTGCTTTTCTTCAACAGCAAGAAAAACTGTAATAATGTTCTTAAGCTCACTTCAAGGAGTAATAGTAAATATTCTTTTACCAATAGCTAGATAGACTACCTCATGGCCACCTCCACAATAGAAGGAACTTTTAGAATTTTCTAGCCCAACCTTAACCTTGAAGTGTAAGGCTCACTCCCATGCGCCCCACACATTCCTGCATTCCCAGAGTCTTATTCTGCCCCTGTCAGCAGCTGGTGATCAGTCTGCACTTTGACAAGGCCCATTGGAAAGTGCATTTCAGTTTTACCCATGGGAGAGTCTGTGTCAACAGTCTCTATGAATGCCAAACTGTCAATCCACTACCATCATTCCAGAGGATGGGAGATAACAACAGCAATAATATCTTCAGACTAAAAGAAATCTCAGTCTCTCTCTCTCTCTTTCTCTCTGAGTTTATCATTTTTCCCAAGTATGAAATGGGCAGAAAAGTGACAGTTTTAATCTCAAGCAGCACAAGCCCTCTTGCTCCTATCCTGCACCACGCCTTCTCTTTGCTCTGCATGGTGCAGGAGGAGCTTGGCAGGAGGAGGCTGGTGTGGAGTCACAGAAGGCCACGTGTAATCCTTCCCCAGGAGACCACCAGCGTGGTGGAGGCTGCTCCCTCCACAGAGGACAGAGGTATTGGATGACTGCCGCCTGCCCCTCAAGATTACAAATATCATGTCTGCTCTGAAAACAGTTTCTCAAGACTGTTCCCTAATGGTACCTACCCACCCAGATTAGAATGTTGTGTCCGCTAATTCAAAACATGCTTCAAGCAGAGGAGGAAGGAGCGCCTTCATTACTCCCAGGAGCTGCTCCAATCCTTCGGGAGGAATTCAATTTAGAGCGGAAATGGAGAATTTCATCAGATCTTAAGTAGGAGCTGGTGTGTGATTTATTTCTGCTTTTTCCAGGGAGACCTGACCAGCGTAGTCCATCTTGCTACTCAGGGAGCTTTACAGCACTTCACAGCTCCAGCTAAATGCTGTAGCCACGGGGCAGAGCAGGTTGTGCAGGAGGCCCTGAGCCAGGCCACTGCCCTAGCCCACTCCTCTCATTATACTGGAGCGTGGGGCAAACTCACTTTTCCTACAGATACTTGGGGGGCGGGCGCATCATACAGACGTATTTATCAAGCTTGAATTTCTTGTGGGCGGGAATCACATTTTTCACAATTCCAACAACATATGGAGCCCACTATCCAATGATAGAGAGGAAGAAAGAATAAAGAAAGAAGGAAACCAGCCCCTTTCCTGCCAGAGCCTGACTTCAATAGGTTTTAGAATCACATGAAATCCACTTTGGCTTGTGTGATTTAATTACTTGCTGATGTAATGTGGACACCGGAAATGTATACCCGATAGTCTGGGGTAAACCAAAAGGGAGGACAAATCCTCTTTCTCTCCCTTGGGTTCAGAGCACGTTTTCTCTTTCCTTCATAAGGTGTGTTTGCATTTCAGCCAATCTATTTACAAACCAGCTTCTGTTCCTTTATCTCTGGCTGCAGTGTAACGTAGGGCATGAGTCTGTTGTCTTGAAGGCAAAGATGTGCTCCAGATGACCCGCAGGACCATTCTCCCCTCTGGCTCTGATGCTGCTCAATAGGGAATAGTCACCTTCTATTTTCTATTGAAGCTACATCGTACAAGGTTTAAACTGAAGGTCTAGGAGATAACAGAATGATTAAGGGGCTCTTGGTCTGGGGGAGAAAGCTAATGGTAGTAAAGTTCTTTTTAAAGATGGTGAAGAACATATAGTAAAACATCTACTCATTTATCTGAATAAAGGTTGCTCAAACTACCAGTGTCATTCTGGCAGAGTGACTCAGGGAAGCCCCGGGGCCACAGTACCTACACTGTTACCCCAAGGCAGCTTTCCTCCTAGACTCATGTTACTTGTGGGTTTGCTTCATACGAAGTATATAAAGTCTCACTTACTCTACCTCTCACCTCAGCATATAGACTGACGATCCCATTTTACAGATGACAAAACTGAGGCACAAAGCGGGTAAAGTTCCTAGCACAAAGCCACACAGCTGGCAAGTCACACAGCCAGTATTTGAACTCATGCTGTCTTGATGTTGGAGCTTCATCCTGACTCACTCTGTCCAGGTCCACTGGCTCTAGACCTGTGACTCTCAGGCTGTGGCACCTCCATACGTGCTAGCTCAAGCCTAGTGGTGCAATGATCACTCACCTCTGTGGCACCTCCATACGTGCTAGCTCAAGCCTAGTGGTGCAATGATCACTCACCTCTCCCCAGAGGCCACCATAGGGAAACCCCCAGCTATGCCCTGCATCTTC